GCACATTCGATTGCCGTCAATGGATGGCAATCGATGTCCGTCGGTGATTGGCACTAGATTGCGGAACAGAGACCGACGTTAAATAAAGGAATGAAGAAGAAACATGAAGTTCCAGTTTCATCGTTGTATACATAGGGGAATTTACGTATTCTCGGCAACCTAAGCAGCAACCTTCTTTCTATAGCCTTTTTCTCTAAGGAACGCACACATATGCAGTATTGGTTTGTTTACAATTGCTGCCAGCTGCTCTAACAATTTCAGTCGAAAGAATTGTCAAAAACTGTTTTGAAACGCTTTTACAAAGCTCCAATCTTCTCTAGTGAGAACGAGTATTGTCGGCAACCAGTTTTTCTTCGGCAACCGTTCCATTTGAACTGCATGTAAATCTGCTGTTCTATTATCGGCAACTCGAAATCAGCTACAATTTGTAGTGCGTGTGTTTCTTTCAAGAAAACCTTGCTAGATTGCTTTTTCTCAGTGGTAAAATATAGTCAAATTGAAGCTGAAAGCATAAATAATCGTTTGCATGCATTCAGCGAAGTGTTTTCGTAAGAAAATCCAGTGAAAATAGTGTTTCAATTTGGGTTGCCGAAAATAGTCTGGCATGCCGAAGCCGTCATTTCCCCTATATGTTTTGTGGGCGCTTTTATTTCAAGCTGAATATTACATTAGGTTCTTAGTAACATTGATCGATTCTCTTCATCGGCTTTCTCTTTCGTTAATGTAAAACGCTGTCCAGACTGGAGAGTTATAACATGTTATAACGGTTGTCAAATAATTGCAACACAGAAACCACCATCAAGATAGCGCTATAACATGTTATAACTCTGTAGTCTGAACGTACTATAACCTTATTGAATAAGGCTTTCACAGCTATTCACCTTAAGTAAATTTGAAATATTTCAGCTAATTTGGAACATTTAAGTTAAGTTCTGTAGATATTTTTATCAAGGCAACATTTGCATAATTCATAAACAAGGAGCTTCACATTTGAAGTTAAAATCTTCATTTCTATAGCAAAAAAACATTCACTTGTCTGCTTGAAATTCCAAAATAGTGAGTATCTTTCCAATGAGAATCCATATCAGCCCTGGGACCTGGTAGTAATCAGACTACCACTAGGTTTTACCCAACAATCAATACGAAACTAACGATTTTAAATTGGCTCACTTCTTGACTAGCCTATTGGTCTCAAGCAAATAGATTAACGTACCCTATTCTAGTCAAAATTCTAGAACTACACAATGTTTGTTTTGATTAGCTATGAAAGTTTGACAGATAAAATGAGGGGTTATTGGATTTTCCTATGTTTCGAGGGGTGAATCGATTAGCTTGGAAACGAAGATAGTACCAGAGCTGAGCCAAAAAGTTGAGCACGTTTCTTCGGGACCGACTAGTCTTAGAGTTACCTCTATGGTACCAGAGCTGAGCCAAAAAGTTGAGCACATTATTTCGGAACCTTCTAGTCTTAGAGTTACCTCTATGTTTTATCAATGCCGAGGCATTACAAATAATCATTATAACATCTCATTATTTCAGAATTTATAATTTCAGAAAGATTTTATGCGAAATGAGCATTTGCAAGCTTGTATAGCACTAGATTTTTTTTAAAGTCTTAATTATAGAAATTTGCATAGCACTAAAATCACCAGAGCTGAGCCAAAAAGCTGAGCACGTTATTTCGGGACCCTAGTCTTAGAGTTATGTACCTCTATGCTAAAATTATTATAAATCAAACATTCAAAAAACGTTTTTTTTTATTTATCCTTCGTGTTATTCAGACGTTTTGAAGGGTAAAAATTCTGGTTAGTTCCGACCAAATTACACTGTCCTACACGACTTCAAGAACATATTTTTAACCTTTTTTAAAGCTAAACATTGCATTAGGTCCTAAGTAACATTGATCGATTCTCTTCGTCGACTTTCTCTTTCATTAATAACTTGAGCACATAACCGTTTCTTGTTGTGTTTGTCAGATTAGATGCTAGATAAAAGCTTCTTTTATCGATCTGTGTGCTGAAAATACCTGGAAATGTCATTACATGGCCGTGGAAACAAAGAGAAAGTTGACGAAGAGAATCTGTAAATGTTACTCGTTCTGAAAGACACCACCTAAGTACCCCCGGTAATCTGACCGTTTTTAACTGAACTCTTTTTATTTTGAACCCCGCTAATCTGCACACCGTGCAAACTAAAAATTGCTCAAACGTCGCTAAATTTTAGCACATGGAATGGAGAAAAGCAAAATGGAACGATGCGAAACGAAACGCAGAATCAAAACAAAACAATCTGATGGTCTTAGGGTTACTAGAAGCTCAAATTAAAAATAAACCCCTTTAATATGCATCAAGTATCGCTCAGATTAGCGGGGGTTCACGGTATTAGTAAAGTCACTGAAATGAAACATCAAAATAACGTTTTTTAATAATGTAGACAAATGTTCCTTGGGTCAAATTTCCACAAATGGTCCAATGTTCCATCCTCAACAATAAAATAAACACATGCTTAGGTTGGCGGTAAATGACCAAAACCGTGCAATATATCAACTCTTAAAGATGGTGGTACCTAAAAAATGGGACGTACTAGCTCATAAGTAGGAGAAAGTGGGGCACTTTGGCCACCTTAAGAAATTCATCACTAATAATACCAGATTCAGTGGGAAAATCGAATGAATTTTAACCAAATGGATAGTTTCAAGCCCTATTTGCATCATGAATACAAATTGAATATAAAAAGTAAAGTTTTGAATCCTTTTAAAGAAGATTTAAAAAAATGTTAGTTTTGAAACCGAAATAAAAATGTTTGGGTAAAATGAGCCCCCTCTCGGGGTGGTATGAGTGCCCTTGTAAAAAACCGGTAAGAATATTCTATTCTCTTCAGACTTTATGAAGAGTCAAACAGTGAACAGTTTTAGGTATTGGCATAAAAATATTTAAAAGAAACAATTATTTTCTGTAGAATAAATTAAATTTAAGAAGTACTGCCTCTTTAGGGCTATATTTTTCAGTCTTGTGAATTACTAGTTTTGTATCAAAGCAGCTGCTTCAAAAAGTAAGTTCATATGCTTCAAAACGTAAGCCATATTTATAAAAGGAATAATATAAAATTGAAGAATTTAAGTAAAAAAATGTTTGGAATATCAGTGGTGCTCATATTTCCCATATGTTATGAACAAAAACTTTAATGTTTATTGAAAACTAGAAAAACATCGGATCATATAAGATACCAATGAACATTTATATAGCTGCTGAATGAATATTGACAAAATTCTATAAGAAACTGCAGATAGACCTTATGTTCTGATAAGAAATCTTTTGAAATTTTTGACGTTTTTAGAATATTCGGTCTGGAGAAAAGTAATTTTGTAGACTACAATGAAATAGATAGTTCGAGTAGGCTTCAAGCATTTAACCGGCAGCATATTTCTTGAAACATATGTTCAATAATTTGATTTTAAGCGGGTGGCCACAATGCTCATTGGAGAAATTGCTCCACTTTCCCTTATACCCTACATTTTAACTCAAGGGACCACAATAAAGTGAAATATGGTTAGATTGTTCTGTCCTAGAAAAATACCTACATTATCGCATATTGTAATCAAACATTGAGATTGAGAGATTTTAAGGTTCTCCACATTTACGTCATTCCAAAATTTACTGACTTCGGCTCCTGGCTGCAGATTAGGGCATTTTGATTGGAATTTAAACAATGCATAAGGGTCAAATCTCACCACATATGGATGAATTCCGGATTTTTTTTTTGCTTTCCATATCCCCAAAATAACGATCTACGTAACATGTAGAGATTTAGTATAGTTAGGTATGTTTCCAAGACAGTAAAGAAGTCTCTACATTTAAGCGAGATACGTGTACGGAAAATACCAACAGTTGGTTCGAGTTTCTCTTTTCATCTTTTCTTCAATCTGTTTGCGCTTCAACTCTACTAATAAGAACTAGAAAACAAAATGCTTACAAGTGTTCTTGATGTCACTAAACTTTAAGGAACTGTTGTAGGTAAACAAATGTTAACGTCACCACTCAATCGCCGCTTGCTGTGTCGTAGGTACATCGCAAAAATTATGCAATTGAAAAAAATATCACCATGACGCAAATGCACTGAAGTACTCTTCACTGAACCGCTTGCGTTGCAGATAATTTCTTCTACTCGACCACTCACCTGTAATGTTCGGATGTGTTTAGTCCCAGTATTAAGTTTAATTGCCTTAGGTTCCGCTTGTTTAATTCAATAACAACAGTGACCATCACCGCACTTACAGCACCTGACATCTGACAGTCTACCTCTGTCTGCCAAATAATGTTTACACCCATATTACTTCCATCCAGTAGGCATGGGAGCGACCCTCCAACGTGGTGAATTCTACGTTTCTCTCATGCGCATTTTTACTTTCACACTCGGCGACGACATTCACTCCACGTGGTTCACTCCTTCCTCAAGTTGTATTTAGTAGGTTCATTTCTTTCAATGTTGTACCTTTATAGATAAAAAAAAGACAACTACGCACCGGTTTTTTTATCATCAAATGTTACTTCCAATATATTTCTTTAACATTTATGAATGTGTTATGCTAAATGTGTAAAATATAATCGTAAAATGAAAGTAGGTTACTAGAAACAATTCTCGAGCTTGCCTCACCAATGATAAATGTTGCGTCTCTAAATGCTTCCGATCCGTTTATAACGTTATGGGTGTAAAAAATAATGTAAAAACATAATATACGGTATAACATACATGCTTGACAACTACTTTAAATAATTTAAATATGCAAAACTTTGTTTCGTTAGAATTTAGGTTAAAATAAGAAAATGTGTGTATATAAATAATAAATAGGGACAGCATCGAATAAAACTGGTTCTTGCGTTGGCCTGCACGCCGAAGACAATGGGGAACAGAGGGATTGGCGTGATGCTGAGCTCTAGCCTATAAGGTTTCAGAAATCCACGGGGTGATCACTCTTATGTTCTTCTTCTTCATCATCATCATTATCTTCTTCTTCTTCTTTGAGGAAGGTTATTACTTAGAAAGCTGCCAACTATGCACTTAATCCAAACTTGCCCTCTTCTCTACAGTGTTACAACTAGTAATGAAGTGTTTTTTTTCCTCCAGCAGCGGTTGCATATAATCTAGGGAGCATGTGAGCTTCTCGTTTGCATCTCTTGCACTATCGTAGTGTTTTAATAATGTTATGGTTTAGTGTGCGCAGCGCTACAACTCTTCTGGATTAGAGGATTCTACCATAAGCGCAGCTCTCGTTTCACATTTCAAAAAAGCTCAATATTCAGCTTTCCCCTCTTTTTCCTAAGCCCCGTCCTGCATCCGCAGTTCCTTCATTCGGTTGGCCATCTTTTCGTTTTCCTGGTGCATTTGCCGGGCCAACTTTTCGTCAATTTCTGCATTCTTTTCGATAATCTTCGAAATCGTCTTCAGCGTGGCGTTCGCCTTCGGTTGCGGTTGAGAAGCAGTCTCGCTTCCGTTGTTGCTGGTGCTGACCTTGATCGAGTTATCGTTTCTATCGATATTCACCACCCGATTGCGATTCAGCCGATCCTGGACACTGACCCCGGCCGACGATTGTTTATTGCTTGTGGCCGGCTGTCCCGGTCCCGGGGGTTTTTGGCCTCGTTTCGCGTCCTTATCCGATTTTCGACCGGAGGAATTTCTATTGAAATTCTCATTATTCCGGTGATGTGGCTGTTTAGCGCCTCCTTGATGCTGCTGCGCTGGATGGCCATGTGAAGGATGATACTGCTGATGGTGATGTGGATGGTGGTGATGGTCCATCGGCTGATTGCCTGCCGTCTGGAACTGGAACTGTGGTTTCGCCGGTTGACGAGGGCCAACCCGACCACTGCCAATGATTGGAGGGGACGTTACTAAAACGTAAAGAAGGATGTATTTAGCGAGTTCAAGGGTCGTAAAATATGAAGTTGTTTACAGTTCTACAGTGGACCTTCAACAATCGACAACACTGTCCTGGTCACATTCTTGCAACCTTTCAACAAGTAACTATGCTGTAGTTCCCACACCCCACTCACCTTTAACGCTCTTAAACTCTCCATCCTGCGATACCGATACGGTCAGATTCGGTTCACCCTTGAACCCATTGTTCTGCGGAGCATTGTGAATGCAGCCATCATCTTTGCTTCTGTCGTGTTCCCAATCGCGACGCCACTTTCCATCACCCGGCTTATGACCGAATCCGATACCGCCGCCGCCGGCACCGTGTCGAATATGTTCCGGCGGTCGCCGCCCATCGTACTCATTGGTCGACAGTGACCTCTGGAGATTACCATTGTAACTCGTCTTGCCGCCACCGCGGCCACCACCCCGATTACCACCGTTTCCAATGTTGCCACCGTTACCCTGCCGACCACTTCGATTGGTTGGGTTCTTACGTTCAAAGTTATTTTTGTTGACCTTACTAGCACCGGGGCCAACGGGTCCAGGGAGTGCTTTTTCGCCATCACGTTCCACATCCGCTAGAAAGCTGTACGCTGGATCCGGTGGAGGGCCTTCACCTTCGGCGAAAACTTTGTAGTCTTTAGCAATCTTCTGGATGAACGCGTTCTTCTCTTTCTTTTTCTCTGCAAAAAACAAAAACACAGAAAACAGTTGTTGAGAGAGATTAGACCACGAAACCAATTAAAACGATTAGCTTCAATGAACACGGGCAAGAGAACGAATGAACGAATGTTACGACAAAAGTAATGATAGATTGGACCAGAGAAGCGTGCGAAGAAACACAGGTTGATCACCCAGGCACGTGTTTCTCTTTTGAATGCAATGCTTCTAGTAACTATACCTTCGAGTTCAGCGAGGGCTTCCTCATCCAGATCGTATGTGAAATCAATCTTGTCGTACTTGTGTTCCCGTGGCCAGTCGTCATCCTTGGGAGGTTTGATCTCTACCATCGCATTTTCCTTCATCGCCATCAGTCGGTCCGCTTCTGCTTCACGATGTTTCTTCTCGATTTCTTCGTTGCGTTTCTTGATGCGCGCTATGCGCGCTTCCAGGTCTTCCTGACTCTGCACTGACGTCATGTTGCGATTCTGGGGAAAAATTAACATACAATTAAGTCTTCGAGCAGTACACAGAAAAATGCAGTGGAGACTTTTTTTTTCAAAATGATTCTGTTCGGATTCTGTTTATCCGTTAATCTTTTGGTCACGATACCTGGATTTGCCATCTAAAAGCACTGTAACGTCCGGAATATTATATTTAACAAAAAAATTCTAGTGATCATTACTCTTTCAGTAATGCATTACAATTTACTTTTGAGCATTCAGGCAAAAATATGACAGGAGAAATCAATCAGTTTGTCTGCCGATTCGACAAAAAAAAATGAATTGACAATCGTACACGCCAGCATATGATGTGACTAATTTAACCCCAGGAAAGGGGAACCAATATGATTTCCAACAAAATAAAAACACCAGAAATCCGTTTGAAATTACCGAACAAATAAAAAAAAGAAAATATTGAGATATGTCATTGTGGTTTGGTGCTTGAAGAATTGATAGCTCGAAAAGGATCAGTTATGATTGTCTCACTGAGTTGTTCGACTTCGTCAAAATTGCGTATACCATAATGGTTGGTTAATAGACTTTTAAAAAAACGCATCTTTCTTAGAATCATGCTTTTCTCTAAGGTGATACTCGCGTGAAACTTCTAAAGCACAAATTTTAGCTGGCTCAAAACATACAATTTTTAAATTACTACTCTATGTTCGGTGTTCCATAGCACGAGCAAAGATGAGGAGAAGGAAAAGTTCACCTTTCCTATAATAATTCCCATATAAAAACATCAAATTTTGGTAAAATTATCAGGACCTGATTTGAAATTGATTGAGCTTGGTGGAGCAAAATTGATATTTTAAACCACCCTATTGTATCCCCAAGTACACTTGTGTACGTGGCGAAGCACAGCTCAGCTTGAAATTTCACTCGGATAACACGCTTCACTTTCCCGTACTTCCTCAGCACTAACGCTAGCTTATGGCTCAAACCTCCGGTGGTAAGTATAATCGCTATATTCATAGTCTGGCGGATAGAATCTCGGGAATTAAATGAGCTGTCAAAAAGCGGAACCAATCGAGCAAATCACGACCAACAACAGAAAAGAGCACATCAGCTGTTGTGAACAAAACTTCGGAAACCCTTTTCTCGTGACTCAAGGCTCGCCTACGCAAAGTAACACCATCTTTGGGTTGGGGCAAGTTTCCCCTATCCGATGATGCTGGTAATTTGCGTTCGATTGGCGAGGTAAGAAAAATCAACGTTTTGTTTATAAAAGTTGTTAGTACCTCTTCAATTGTTGGTCTACAATATATTGAATTGGTTCCGCATTTTGATAGATCGTAATTCTATCAGCCAGTCTATAAATATAGCGACTATAGTGGTAACCCTAATCAACAAATACCATAAACGAACTGTATCCAGGATGGGTAAAGTATCAAATGGTTTGGATGAGACCCCGAACACGTCGTTAAGCTCTCTTTTATGGTTAATTTTATTAGCGAAGTCATCCACACGCACATATTGAACGTAGCAGTGATGGCAACAATTCAGTTTAAACTGGATTCTTCCAGTTTTTTCGACACATCCAGTCGAATAGTTAAAGTTTGAAACAAGATTTTTGAGAATTTGTCCAGTTTTATCCAGTTTTTTTATTAATAATAGCAAAATATGTTGAAGTATGATTACCAATACAGAATGATTAAATTAAACTTTTAGATTGGATTTGAAATATTTATTAACATAACTTTATGTCAAAGTTAAACAGAAATAACACTCATGAGAGTAGGCTGTGCGTGTGTTTGAACCTGACGTTTGTCTTTTCCGTGAAGTTTTTTTTAAATCTATAATCGGTTATGATCTGGCCATAACCAGGCCCAGTAGATAATTTCTAGTTCCTCATTCTAGGTCCCTATTATTTGCCGCTGAGAAGCTGTTCCGAAGCCAAGTAGAACCTCCACGAGGCGTCCCATCATTCGTCCCATCATTAGTTCCATCATTCGTTGAGTCGCAGCGTTGAACCTGACTATTGGCTACGAAAAGGCTTGCCAATGCACATCAAAAATCGACTACATACATCCGAACATTTGTTTATCTCAAATCGAAGGAAGACATTCCGCGCAACTACCATAAACCGGACTACCTAGTTCATGTTGATCTTCGTCAAGCTTCGTCTACAATTTGGACTTCTACATCAACACATGTCAGGCAGGCTCAATGAGTTCGTTCCATTTTGTAAATTTATATCTTTTCAAACCAGTAACGTTGGGAGATCACCTTTTTGTGGTGCGTTACTGGTATAAGATCTACCACCGTGACAAGTCGTGACAACTTCAAACTAGGGAATCAGGATTTTCCAGTAACCAAAGGATCACATTTTAGTCCTTGTTACTTTTTATGACTTGATAATAGTGACAAGACTCGGGTAGTGATGCATTTCTATATTGTATATTTCAAATCAAAAATATTGTTTATGTTCATAGATTTCACATAATCCTTTTCCCTTTGTCCTTCTCCTTTTCCTTTCCCTGTTCTCTTTTCCGAAAGCGAGTAATGGCGCTATAGCCATAAGTCATACAAGGCTAGGACAAGAGTTAGTGCTCATGTCCCAACCGTCAGAAGAAAATGGAGCATCACTTAACCTTTCTAGCTTGGATGCTTCCAACGACCAATAAACCAATCATATAATTACCAAAATCGGAACGTACGGTACGAGATATCCACGTTTCATCCATTTATTGGATTCTGAAGCATCGTTTCAATCTTCGATTTAAACAGGCCCGATGTTTTCTGGATCATCTTGCCCCTTAAATGCAACACAATAGGCCTGGCCGTTTTGATATGTGTGACGCATCTTCGATGTGAAACAGATACCAAATAGATAAGAAAAATGATGTAGGTATATATATCATTTTCCAGGATGCTTTCAAGAACTGACTCTGTTGGTATTAGATTTGATTAGAGACAAACAGACATAACACTCACAATCACATATTTCGCAAATAAGGTTTTGTTAGGGAATCGTGTACATAGATTTCAAAGATCGTTTTGATGTGTCCCACACATGAATTTTTGCAATGTGATCTACAAATGATATATATGTATGTGTCGGAAACATACTTCATATGTGTACATATGAAAGCCATGTGTAACCACACACACACTATTCATTTGACTCATAAATTTCATGTGTGCTTCTGGGTGGATTCTGTTCATGTGTCTTCTTCTTCTTCTTCTTCGCTTTTCAAGCTTATTGCATATCGCATATTAGCTTATTGCGTGCTCTCAACTTAGTGTTCTTGATGCACTTCCACAGTTATTAATTAAGAGCTTTCGATGCCTGTACCATTTTTGCATTGATATGATTGTGTGGCAAGTCTAATCATACTTCTATGCCCAGGGAAGTCGAGAAATTTTCCAACCCGAAAAATTCCTAGACCGGACCGGGAATCGAACCCAGCCACCTCCAGCATGGTCTTGCTTTGTAGCTGCGCCTTCACCGACTGAGCTAAGGGATACCCTGTTCATGTGTGGTCACATGAAAATCATGTGAAATTTCACATGGAAATTCGTCAATTAAAATGTGTGAATTAGTGTATGGGATCGAAAAAAAAAATATCGTTGTGCTCAGAAAACGAAGCTCATTCAGATGGTAGGGGAATTTACGTATTCTCGTCAATCTAAGCAGCGTCCGAACTTCTATTGGCGATTTCTCAGCGTCACACACATACATGACAGGTTTGTTTGTTATCATTTATCTACTGCTTGCTGTTCTACCAATTCCAATCGACAGAATTGATCAAAACGGGTTGAACATGTTTTTACAACGCTCCAAACTTCTCAAGTGAGTGTGACTATTGTCGGCAGTCTCTTTTTCTTCGGCACCCTTACCATTTGAACTGCGTGTTAACCAGCTGTTCTATTATCGGCAACTCGAAATCAGCCGTATTTTGTAGTGTGTATATTTCAATTAAAGAAAAATATGGCATAACAGGATTGCACAGTCGTAAAAATGTAATCAGATTGAAGCTGAAAAGGTAAGGAATCGGCTTAATACATTCAGCGAAGAGTTGTGATGGGAAAATACAGTGAAATTAACGTTTCAATTTCGGTTGCCGAAAACAGTCAATGGGTGCCGAAGCCATAATTTACCCTATATAAAAACCGGTTTTTTTTTTTCTCAAAATTGAAGAACACAATTGAGTAGTTCCACGCCAAATGACGAATCGGAAAAACTCGACCGATGCATGAACATGAACATGAAACTGATTTTTTTTTTCGAACATTCGGCCATTTTGGAACTTGTGAAATTTTCAAAATAACGCTTTTAAAAATTTTCAAAAATGTTTTCCATGGAAACGGCACTTCTGATTGACCGCCTAAGACAAAGTTGTAGAGCTAAAAGTATATAATGTATAATGGCAAGTTGAAACAATTTTAAACGATTCGCGATCTCCTTGTTGGCGTTTATTCAAACATTCTACCTACTTCGAGTTGGTTGTATTGGTGTCTAGGGGTGGTGTCACTCTACACACTTATTTCATGCCAAAAAAAATCTCACTGTGCCTCACGTGTGCCGGCAGTGCCGAGAGTGCCAGTCATCGGACTGGCTTTGTTTGTTTGTGAAAAATGGGATGTTTGACAACCCGGTTAATTTGACCGTTCAAATATTTTGAGAAAGACAACAAGCAGTGGAATCCGAACCGAGCCAAGCCGATGATCCAGAAGCACCCCTTCACAAGCACAAACCGATACTGGACCAACTGGCCCTCAATAAGACGACCAAGTTCCTCCGACCGCTCGATATCGACACGCATCTGATCGCATTCTAAATCTACAGCCACTGGGGAAAGCTGCCGCGGATGTGATGCAACTGCTGAAATCGGCTCAAAAAGTTGACAAGCAAGATTGTTTGGAAAGAAATTGAAGAAAGCGTGAAGCTGGCCATCGATCAGGCACGAGAAAAACCCTTCTTCCAGGGATCTAAATCAGCTGCCTAGATCAACGATGGCAACCTAAAAGCAAACCGGGACAAC